TTTTTAGACCGATGAGCTTTGTAAAAATCGAAGCGTTTCAAAAAGGCGGGGCATAGAGGAGAAACAATAATGTACAGTATGTGGAAAATAATGTGTTTTTTTAACTTTAAACCGCATAAACACATTTCATTACACCAAATACACCAAATAATGTTCTTTTTAGCAGCATCATATGACCCCTTTAATCAAAGCATTCTTTGTGTGGCTTTAAAGGAATAGTTTACCCAAAATCAGCTGAATCATCATTTACTTTCCCTCATGTCGTTTCAAGCCCGTATGCTGGAGCTGCATGAGGGAGAGTGAACACTTGAGAGTTTTTGGGAAAGCTGTTCCTGTAAATGAGCGCAGGTGTGCTGCTGATATTCCTGAACGGCCAGTTGGTGGCGTAGTTCTACAGCGCTTTAGAAACAATACAAGAAACTTGTGCTATTCCTTGAATTTGAAGTCATCATTTCATGTCGTAAATTATAAAGAACTGAGGTATTCACAACCATTACTCGGGATTTTTAAGTACATAACTTTTTCATTAAATATGTGAAACTTGAACTGGATGACATTCCTGGAGTTTTTCTAAATGATTTGGAACATTGAATAAGTCTACAGTACCGAATAATTGTATGTCTGCAATTATCAGGTGCTCAAGAATCATGTTTATCTTTAAGGGTTTCATGGTTTTGTAAATGTAATCAAAGCATTCAAGAAAAAGTCATGGTATTTCTGATAGATAGATAGAATGTATGTTATTGATTTAATTTACATATTTAAATTCATATTACTAAGTATCAAAGATTGATGTCATGTTACACAGAAATAAAACTTTTATGACACTTTCATGCTTCACCTCATCGAAATGTATATTTATGATTATTTATATATATATATATATATATATATACATATATATATCATGTATAATATTCGTTATTTATGTAAACACAGGCTATATAGGCTTATTGCTTGCTAAAGTCATGTTACACTGCATAAAAAATAACTTTTATGACACGTAAGCGTATTTAATTGAATGTGCATGCTGTTTATATTGCAGAGAGGCCGCATGTTTCCTAACTCTGAACTGCAGTATTTTTCAGATGTATTCGGACTGTCCACTCGTGTGTTCAGTGTTTCGGTGCGGATGCAGGTATTCACTGTTGCATCTCACATGCTGACCTCTCGTGTCTCATCCTCCCACTGCTGCGTCACGCTGGAGGAGGGCGAGATCTTTAAATATGGAACAAGACTCAAGTCGAGCGCGACGCGGGCAGGTTTACGCGCAACGTGGAGCGCTTTCCGACGGGACGGAGAGAGTTCGTGAGCCTGTTGCGTTATGACTGCTGGAGTGACTGAATGTACTGTAGTTAGTAGACGCAGCAGCGAATTATCTCTGGCTCCAGATAAACAGAAGTGAGTCTCTGTATGTGTTCCGGCTTTTACGCATCCAGACACGCTGAACTTGGAGCGAATTCGCACTTGCGCATATTTTGGAAGTGTTTCTGAAGCCCGGACGCACTTTAATTCAGCGGAGGAGAAGAGGACGCGCACGGCACGGTCAACATGAGCGACAAAAACAAGTGAGTACTTTTATTTGCATGTTATCTTCCCAGTCGAGATCGGTTGTGTCTCCATAAGTGGGTCGAGAACAGCCCTCCCACCCTGAATCTGTCCTGCTTCTTCACCAAAAAGTAAAGGTAACAGTATCCTTCAGGACAGCAACAGATCTGCTCCGAGTCTGTGCGGTCAGGGCTTCAAGTTTCAGGGACAGGTTATTATCTATTAAAGACATTAAACTGGGCTTTTGCATACGTTTGACAGCTCATGAACATCCTTAATGTTCAAACTTCATAATGGTTTCTTGCTCTATAATAGGTTCTAACAAGAACCACAAATGATAACTCTTAAAAAATAAAGATCATCTGGTTCCGTGAAGAACCTTTAACATCCATGGAACCTTTCCATTGCACTAAAAGTTTTTAGAGTGGGGAAAAATGTGTTCTTTAGATGTTATTTTAGGAACTGTTTTGTGAAAATTTCTTTGGGGAACCTGAAATGTTTCTTTTATGGTTCTCTTTTGGATTCTTTATTTTTAAAAGTGTAGGAGAGCGATTTGAGGTTCTACAGAGAACTTTTTGTTCTTCAGTTTTTTTAAAACATCTGTGAATTTGGTGCTTCAGAAACCAATATGTTGAGCTGAAAAGCTGTTCTTGATCAACAAGAAGAACCAAAAGTGTCTAATTCCATCAGAGAACCTGTTTAGTTTTCATGGTCACCTTTTATTCTCTACTTATTTACAAACCATATGAACTTGGTGCTTCAGAACCCCGAAAACAGTATGCTGAAGTACGGTTCACTTGGAACCCCAACCGAAGTGGTACTAAAAAAAGTACCAGGTACTGTACCCAGTGGAAAACCCCCAAAAAGTGAACCATACCGAGCCGTACCATGCAGTGGAAAAGCACCATTAGAGAGCCAGAAACTCTTCTTTATCAGCAACAAGAACCAAAAGTCTTTAATTCCATCAGAGAACCTGTTCAGGTTCCACAACCATTTTATTTGCTACTTTTTAGAAAGACATCCATGTATTGATAATTTAGAGCCCAGAAATTAATATGCTGATCTGAACAACTCTAGATAATCAAAAACCATTTTGCCTGAGAACAAGAACCTGCAATGAAACATCAAGAGCTCTTTGGCTCTCTGCAGAATCATACATGGTAGGAGAGTCATTTGAGGCTCTACAGAGAAAACCGTCTGTGTAATTATTGCTTCAGATCCCAGAAACCAATATGCTGAACCTTAAAGAGCCAAAACTTGTTCTTGATCAGCAACACAAATCAAAACTGTTTGTTTAATTCCATCAAAAATCTTTTTTAGGTTTCACAATCACTTTTTATTCTCTGCTTCTTTAGAAAAGCATCTGTGTATTGCCAATTTAGAGCTCAGAAATCAATATGCTGATCTGAAAAACCAACAAAGGCTCTCCAAAGAACCAGTTCAAGAAATCTAGATAATCAAGAACTATTTTGCTTAAGAACAAAAACATACAATGGAACATCAAGAGCTTTTTGGCTCTCAGAGAACTTTTTATTCTTCAGTTCTTTAAAACATCTGTGAACTTGGCGCTTCAGAGCCCAGAAACCAATAGGCTGAACCTTAGAGAGCCAAAAACTGTTCTTGATCAACAACACGAACCAAAACTGTTTAATTCCACCAGAGAACCTGTTTGGGTCACTTTTTTCATTATTAGAAAAATATGTATTTTAGAACCCAAAGGCTCCCCAAAGAATTATTTAGTAACTCAAGAGCCTTAGAAACCCAAGAACCAAAACTGGTGCTTGACTGAAGAACAACAACCTGCAATGAAACATCAAGAGCTTTTTGACGCTCTGAAAAATCAAACCATTCCTGAACCAGAACATTTTAATAATCTAAAGAACCCTTTGTCCATTTGAAAGTTTCCATGGATGTTAAAGGTTCTTCATGGAACCAAAGATGCCAATAAAGAACCTTTATTTTTAAAAGTGTACAGCAAGTGAATGGTTCTTTGCTGAACCCAAGAACCACCTTTTTTTTTAACTGAATGAAATATCTCATTGGGGTCTCTAGAGGCCATTAGTAGGGGGTTCCACCGCCGACTCATGATGTATGATGCAGTTCACTCTTTTCATTCTAATGTTACTGCCAAGTCGTGCTGCTTTAAGTCGCCCTCTTTACAGGTTCCCTAAAGCCGCGGCTTGAACGGTCAACGTAATCTTTTTCCAAGAAGCTCCTGTCAAAACCAATTAGCTCCTTAGTGTCCAGAAGCAATGCGTGCGTCGCTTAGCGTTCCAGAAACCGGTGGCTGGATATAATGCAGGGGTTTCGATCTCCTTTTAGTTCAGTGCAGCATGTGCTGTCATAATAAAAGAGCCAGCTGCCTGCAGGGATCAGATTTTTTGACCAATAGGGCTCTTCAGATGTGAGTGGATGGATCATGTGATGTCTTCTTTCTTATGCAGTGCTAAGGACATTTAGATTTTTACGCTTTAATAAGCACTAATGTTCATTACTGGTAAATTAACCCTCACTAACAGTACTGTGATGGTAGTTAATGTATGGTACTGGATGATTACCATAGTCATATAGTATGGTATTTAAATGGTGAATACTACAGTATAACCATGGTGTCATGCCCACAAAATTGGCAATACCATGGTACTTTGATATCTGCAAACAAGTACTTAAAAATACAATTTTCCTTTGTACACGTACCATGGAACTACCATGTTTTTTGGACATTTAGACCATAGTTGTACCAGTACCATGATATATTTCAAAGTACTGTAGTAATACCATGGGATACCATTTTTTATGTATACTATGGTATTGGTATGGTACTCAAACAATACCATGGTATTATCTAAAAATGTGGTATTATCACGGTACATGTTTAAAAAAAACCCACAACAATTCCTGCTACTTTGAAGATTACTGTGGTATAACCATGTCTAAACGGTTTTTATTCATATTTTTATACTATTTATGAATACTTTAAATTAGCTTTTTTTATCATTTCATTTTTCATTTTAATTTTAGTAATTTTATGTGTTTGTCATTTTATTAGTGTTCATTTGAACTTTCTTTATTTCAGTTTTATTAATATTAGTACTTCAACTTATTTATTCAACTTCGTTATTATTATTATAATTATTCAATTTTAACTGTTACTTAATTTATTTTTGTATGTTTTTCATGTAATATATATATATTTTTTATTATTACCAAAAAATAGTTTTTACTAGTTTTAGTTTTAGTTCCCAAGGCAACATTTTATTTATTTATTTATTTATTTTACTTTTGCCAATTGTTTATTTATTTATTTTAGTTTTAAGTAACAATAACAACACTTAGTTGCCAAGGCAATATTTACATTTTTATTGAAGTTTAAGTTTTCATCTAATAATTATATTTTCTTTTCACTTTAATTACCAAAAACTATTTTCACTAGTTTTAGTTAGTGATAACAACACTTAGTTCTGTTTTTTTCTGTAATTTGTAACTTTTTAAAATGTTTCATCTAATATTTATTTATTTTGGCTTTATTTTCATTACCAAACATTTTTTACTTGTGTTAGTTTTAGTTAAAGATAACAACACTGCTAAAAATCCACGATGACACCATGGTACTTTAATGTAGTGCAATACTGAATCTTTCACTATCTAAAGCTGTCAAATGATCCCACCACACCTGGAAGAACTATAAATAGCAAGGATTTCTTAAGAAAAATGTGTAAATGTTCCTCATTCCTATTCTGGACACACACAGGCTTAACTGTCTGTGTACGAGAGCGTTGCATAAGCGATCACTCTCACCTGTTGAGCTATGTGACTGCTCTTTCCCCTTCCATTGACTGTCTGAAGCACACAGACAGCACACAGCTTCCTGCTGTTTAGTGTCACCTGTGCAGGTATTGTGAAAGGAACTTTCATAGGAAGATAAGTGGAAAATGCAGAGTCACAGTGGAATGTCCTCAGTAGACTCTGCCCTCAGATATGGTCTCCATGACTCCTGATATCTCTTTTCTTCTCCTTGAGACTGAGATCATCTGTGAGTGATGGACAGGAGCGACCCTGAGCCTGCTGGGATACAGTAGCGATATGCTGTGTTCTGAAATAGGAAGATTTATGTATCAGACTGGATCTACTGTACGTGAACTTGAAGTTATAGAGGTTTTGATTAAGACCTGCTGGTTTCACACGTCAATTCATGATTTAAAATGACTCTCTAATCTATACTTTCTTAAATCATGTACTTATTGTGTGTGATTCATCAGTGCATGTAGGAAAAAAGAAGTTTAATAATGTAACAACTTGCTTTGAAACTTTGTTAATTGTTAACCAGTAGGAAAATAGCTATTTAAACATTCTTTTAGGCTGATGTTGTAAGTAATATAGCCTTTATCTAGCAACCAGTTGAAGCTGCCTTTTTTTAAAAATTTTATTTTAGCATTATTTATAATATACTATTATAGGATTTAGTAATGGTTTTGTTGAATGATGAATCATTAGCTTTTATTTTTATATTTTCAGTTTTTATTTAAATTTTAGTTCAAGTTTTTAGTGTAAGTTTTGGTTATTTTATGTGATTTGTCTTTTTTATATATATATATATATATATTAAATATGTTTATTTAGATTTATTTTTATTTTTTACATTAATTTTAGTACTTCGACTTAAGCTTATTTCAGTTAGTTGCCAAGGTAATATTTCTTTTTTAATCTCTAATATATATTAGATATAATAATATATTTAAAATATTTTATTTTATAATTTTTATTTTATATTCAACTTTATTTCAATTAACGGAAATTGTTTTTTATTAGTTTTATGTTTAACAATAATAACACTGGTTAACAACAATTTTATTAATTATTTTATTAATTTTATTATGTTATGGCAACAATAACAAATAATAGATCAATTTGAATGCATAGAGATGCTCTGGAGACTGAACTTGACTCTTTTTGACTATCCAATCAATTCCTGTTTCCTGATCAAATCAAGTCTCATTTTTTTCTCATTAAATATCCTGTT